CAGGTGATCTAACCTGTTAGCAGGGCGTTTATAGCAAACTGGTTGATGTGCATGTTTCAGTGTGCAGTCACTAAGGCTCAGCATGACAATGACATTTCTTAAGTCCTGAGGATAATTTCCTTTTTCATTGCTCTAGGCAATCGGTGTGTCCCTTAGATCCTTTAGCACATGTGACCACTGACTAAACATTTGTATAACTCTGCTATTCCCTTTATTGGCTGCCTGGCCTCGGAGGCCAGGAATTACATGTAGCTTTGATATTTCAAGCTTTCTTATGCCATTGGGAGAGACGGCCCTTTTCTGTACTCCCATTGCCCAAGCCTACCAAGGCCCCAAATAATGACTTCACAAGGAGTTTATCCAGATGTGGTCTCTGCACACAGTGGGTCTTTTTCGCCCACAATGGTGCACTTTCCAAGTACACAGAACTAATAATTTTTGTATGTTTTGTGTAATACAGATCCAGTAATTTTCAAACCCTTTTGGAGACAATATGCCTTCCCTGTATTTTATCACTTTTATCATTAGTCATTTATTGAACACAAATTTTTAAAAGATTTATTGTAATGATTAAAAAATACTCCCACCATTTCCCCAAAATCCCTCTGGCTGAAACCTCAGGGGCAGGGCTGCTGAGACTACAGGACTGAAAGGTGGGCTGCAGGACCTGTCCCTGGCTCTAGCCTCTGAGGCCCCCAGGCAAAGTGATCACACTGACAGGAGAGGTGGAGGCCCAGGTACCAGACAGAGGCTCAGTGGAGCCATCTCCACTGTAGGAAACCAATTTCTGGGAGGGTGGGCAGCCATAGGTTCTTCCACATACCAATAACAGTTTGATGTGTAAATGTTTGTATTCAGGGATATAAGAAAGAGAGAGAGAGAGAGATGTGGGCCTATAGGAAATGCTGATGAGTTCTAGAACATGTGAAAACATCTCTGCACATGGGCTGCATTGTTACCTTGCTAACAATGAAGAGGTCCTCCCGCTTTACAACCCCCTCTTTTATCTTCTCTTGGATGGCTTCTCCCACCTCATTCTCATTCCCATAGGCAAAGGCACAGTCAAAGTGGCGATAGCCTGCATCGATGGCCACCTTCACGGCTTCTTTGACACTGAGTGGCGAAGACTGCAAGGCAACAGAAAAAATCATCAGGTGTTCTGGTCCCAGTAGCTCCTACACTAGGCTGTACATGGCTCAGCTTCACCGAGGCTCTCTGGGGTCCCACTGACTGGGGTCAGCTTGGAGACAAATGCTGTGGGAAGGTTTTTGAAGGAATAGAAATACGATAAATTGATTTAATGTTTATGACTTGAAAACTGTTCCCAGCTAAAAGTCAATTCCACTTTAATCCAGGCTAACCTTGTAGTACATGCAGTTGGCTGGGATTGACAGGTAAATCCCACTACAAGTGGTGACTACCAGGATGAAAGTAGACTCTGAGGAATCCCAGAAGAATTTCAAACTCCAGGTGGTGATAAGGATGTCAGAAACGATCTTCACGCTATGAACCCATGCTCTACCACACAGCAGATGTACAGGTCTGATGAGATTACTCCATCTCTCTAAATCCTGCCCACATTAGGGCATGGTGATGCAAACCTGTAATGCCAGCACTCAGGAGGCTGAGGCAGGAGGATCACTGCCAGTCTGAGGTTCTCATGGTGTATATAGTGAGTTCAAGTCCAGCCTGGACTACACAGTGACCCTGTCTCAAAAAAAAAAAAAAAAAAAAAAAAAATCCTGCCCACAAAGTGGGAACAGCAAAGCTCTAGCTTCATGACATCCTTGTGTTATCTGTTTGCCACATCACCTGACAACCAATGAGGCCCTGTATATTTATTGTTTCAGACACAATAAAGCTTATAAGGGGGCTGGGGATTTAGCTCAGTGGCACAGTGCCTGCCTGGCAAGCGTAAGATCCTGAGTTCAATTCCCAGTACTCCCCACCAAACAAACAATACACTTGGTTTCCATCCTCAAGAAAGAAGAAAAGAAATGTTACATTTTTGTCTAACTTACCCAAGTCCAACAATGGGGGGGAAAGCACTTAAACATGATTCCTCAAAGATCTAAAACTTCTTTGGTTGTGAAGTACCAAACACTGAAAGGTAAATAAAGCTACACAAGCAGTGGGATAAAAAATTGCTGCCAGCAAACCTGATGTACCCAGGGCCCCTTTCCAAACCACTGTACCCTCCTTTACCTCCACCAATAGCTACACAATCCTTTAAATGGTTTCATTCTCATGACTTGAAAATAGCCCCCTTCATAATCTTACAACTACCTTTGGAATTTTGCAAATTATTTCTAGTAAATGTATCCAGGATGCTGTAGCCTCATCCAGGCTACAAGGACAGCTTGGATGAGATTTACTGATAATTTGAGATTTATTATCACTTGTGCATAAGGTTAAAATTATGATTTGAGGTAATTCTTGCCGTTCAAGCAAAGTCCAAGGCTAAATTAGGCTGGTGTTGATCTGCTCACCCAAACTGATGGAGAATGTATCCTGAGTATCCATAAACCTGCTGACAAAATGAAGGGGGATATTGAACCAGGAGATTAGGATGTGGCAAACTGGCTGGACATGTGGGTGTCACCTGTTAATCAAGGAGATCCAGGAGACATGTGCCCAAGACCTGTTCCTAGAACCAATCTGAAAGTGCTATCTTCAATTTTTATCTCAAGTACTGAAGCAGGTCTTTGATACAGTGACCCAGATCTGACATCAGCCTGAGGCGTAGGAGATACAACAGATGGCCGCCATTAAGCTGGTGGCCTCTGTGACCTCTTTCAGTGGGTCATTCTGCTCTTTGCAGGGTGTCAATCTTTTCCTACTCTGAATTGGCCCCCACTCACTCTACAGGATATATTTCTTTTTCTACTTTTAATACCTTGAATACATCCAAAATTTAACTACCTTTTTTGCTTGTCCTGACCAATTCTTTGTGCAGTATAGAACGAATGTGGAAAGCACCTCTAGCAGGAGAGGGCAGCACTCCAGAACCCAGTAACAATCCCACCCTTCCCCAGCAGAGGAGGTGAGGAAGAGAATACAAAGTTGGAAAGAGAGCCAGAGAGGGAAGAAAACACAGAATAAGACATCAAAGGGACAGGAGAGAAGATAGAACCTGAAGATGGTTCCCAGAAAATAACTTGGGTGATGCTGTCCCGGCGGATCACAACTTCTCTTCACAGGGTGCTGGGGTGTGCCTTTGCGTATTTTTCAGGTTCACATTAACACTGTCAGAGGTGGACTTGAGGTTCTGACTCCCAACCTGGTCCTCTGTGTTTCCAGCTCTTCTCAGACTTAAATAACCACATGAGGATATTGGTTAAGTGCACATTCTGATCCGTAGCATGCAGTGGTTCTGAGGTTCTGCATTTCTAGCAAGCACACAGGCCACATTGTTGCTGCTGGCGCAAGTCCCACTGCACAAGCGGCAAGAGTTGCCAGAGATTTGGGAGCTCTGCATTCTTTCTCAGTCACTCCGCCAGCAGCAAACCCACAGCCAAGAGCTGTAAAATGCTCAGACGCACAAGTTCTCCAGTATCAGCCAGTGTTTTAGAGAAACAGAGTGCTAAAATAGTAACTGCCCTAAAAACAAATCTGTTTTCAACAGCTCCCCAAAACCTGAAACTTGCAGGGAAACTCATCACCACTAAGAAAAGCCAATCTTTGTGATCTGCAGCCTAAATGAGCCCTAAAAAACGAAAGCAGCTGAGGTACTGGCTGTAGGGTCGAACTGCACCTCTCATACTGCCAGGTGTAACTGAATGCAGAAAAAAGAAAGTGCCCTTCCCCTACCACCCTGAAACCCTCTAGAGAAGCAGGGGCTCCAGGATTTGCGTATTTACCTTCCCGGTCCCCAGGCCTACAATGGGCATCTTGGCTTTGGTGCAGAGCTCCACAAAAGTTGCCATAGTTGGTGCAGAAGCCTTCTGAGGGAGCAGATAAAGAGCACAAATCTGTGAGCTGCAGCAGGAGGCTAGCAGGTCCTGTTAATAAAGCTGACTGGGCTGCTGGGGGAGGACCCAGAGCTCAGGGCTGGCACTAGAACAGGAAGTCCATCCTTTCTAGCCTTCTATGGCATTGACTGGCAGAAGTAAATCATTAGAGATAATGACTCCGCACAGATTCTTGCTGTTGTACAAGGTACAAATTCCTCTATGAGGGTCAATTATGAGTTTGACCACAAATATAACTTAATCAAGATTGTCCAAAGGTTAAATTATTTGTGTATAGATATTGCAGTGAAAATCTGCATACTATAGTGAACTTTGTGGGTATCTGACAAGGTGGAGTTTGGTAAATTTCCTAAGGTAAAATGAACAGGATGACATAAATTATTTTGAGATAATAATCCTTGATCACAAGAAACAATCATACAAGTACATCTTCCCAACAATCATCTATCTTTGGAATCAAACCTGCGTTTTCATTTTGTTTTACACAGGATCTCATTACATGGTCTGTGCTTGTCCCAAACACATGCTTAACTAATCTCCCCACAATCTCCCAAGTACTAGGACTGTATTTCCTAGCCTCCTTCTTTCCTTATTTGAAAACATGAGTTTATACCTACAAGCATTTTTAGATTTACAGAAAAACATTTATATAACATTATTAACTGAAGTCCATCATTTTCATTGGGGCTCATGCCTTCCATTGTATATTCTCTTGGTTTTGACAAATGTCCCCTGACAGGTATCCATCACTACTGTATCAAACAGAATAGTGTTATTGCCCTGAAAACTGCCTGTGCTCCACCTGTCCATCATTCCCCTACTTTCCCTGAGC